TTCAGATAGCCTTGATGTCGAAAGCCCATGCTGAATTTTAAGAGTATCATTTGATCTGTTTTTTGCGTTAATTAACTTTAACTAGCTGTCGCCCCCTACAAACGATCACTCTCAGAAGTATGAACTTGTGCGAGCTACAGATTAACGAGGTCTTCCCTTTTAACGTGTGAATTCTAGTACGGCACCCCTCAACAATCTATAAGTCTCATAGTTCTGAAGGAAAAAATGCTCAGTGCAAGTGAAAATCTTGAGAAACTGAAAAAAATAACCCAAGGGGGGAACTATGTGCTAAAAAAGTTTGTACTGTTTTTATAATTTCAGATAACAACTATGAGTAAGATATTGTCCAATCAAACGCCTTATAAAAATGGGATAGTGAAAAAATCATTTTCAGAAAAGTGTAGTAGTAGTAGTAGTAGTAGTAGTAGTAGTAGTAGTAGTAGTAGTAGTAGTAGGAGGAGGAGGAGGAGGAGGAGGAGGAGGAGGAGGAGGAGGAGTAGTAGTAGTAGTAGTAGTAGTAGTAGTAGTAGTAGTAGTAGTAGTAGTAGTAGTAGTAGTAGTAGTAGTAGTAGTAGTAGTAGTAGTAGTAGTAGTAGGAGGAGGAGGAGGAGGAGGAGGAGGAGGAGGAGGAGGAGGAGTAGTAGTAGTAGTAGTAGTAGTAGTAGTAGTAGTAGTAGTAGTAGTAGTAGTAGTAGTAGTAGTAGTAGTAGTAGTAGTAGTAGTAGTAGTAGTTCTTGTCGTTGTAGTGAAATTGTAGTATTTATTTATCTTTCAGATCATAATGATATTAGACATGTCAAAAAAATAGATATATAGATGAAAATACATATATACCTACCAAGTAATACAAAGCCTACGGATGCAGATGCACATTTTAGGATAGTATAGATAAATCATTATAAACAACATAATATAATTCAATGTATAACATATAAACAGGAAAGAATATGCAGTGAGAATAAGTTACATCAAGACATGCTTTTGCAGAAACTCATCTAAGCTGTAATATTCCCCGTTCGTCAATAATTCTTTGATTTTTGGAAGGGTACCATGTATAGGTCCTTGACATCCTCTGTCAATGAATTGAAAAGTATAGTGCCGTTATATCTAAGAGATTCCTTAAAAGTCGACGTTTTGTGTTTTGGGATAGTTGAATGTTCAGTTTGTGTTCCATAATTATGAGGGACTGACCCGTGATTATGACTCACTATGTTGTATCCCACATGAAACAGAGCTTCATAAATATATATATGCAGGGAAGAGTTATATTTTATGTTTCGAGAATAAAGCCCAACAAATTTATCTCGGTGCTTCGTCAAATATGATCCTGATTATTCTTTTTTATAAAATAAATACACGTCTTGCACCAACAGAAGTACCCCACAGTAGTATATTTCGAGCCATGTGAGAATAGGCCAAATAATAATAGACCATCTTGATACCATCTAAGTCTAATACCTCTTTGATCTGACGTACTGCAAGTATAGCTTCATTAATTTTTTTGCACACGTGATCAATGTGGGACTTCTAAGATAAAATGTTATCTAAGTACATACCTAGGAGTTTGGCTGTATCAGATAGTTGGACGTTATTCAGATTCAATGTCTTCCTCAAGGTGAGTATATGTTTGCATTCAGTATCAGTTTCTGTCACACCAAGAAACCATAGCATCCATAATTCAAATCCAACGTAAATCGCTACTTTCACATAGACACCGCTCTGAGAGCACCTTAATGATTTTCCTGTAATGCTTGTGTTTTTTCCTTGAAAAAAATAACTCAGTGTCTAATTATTTATTGTTGTTTTTCCTTTAATTGCAAAAGTATATAATATATCAGAGAAGAAAGTGATACAAATAATGAAATTATGAAACAACAACAAAAATGAATTGGCGCTTCGAGCCTCAAGTAAAATCCGCAAAAAAACCTGCAGCACCACATCATCTGTGCCTCCAGAGGCTCCAATAAATTCAAGATATCGACAGAATACTTAGTGACACGACTATCGTCAAACTTAAACCAGTCCGTTTCGTCTTTAACCAATGCACAATAAAGACCAAATTCAACACCAGAACCACAGTGAACAATGACTGCATGAAGATTATAATAGTGGTCTGCTAGATTGATATGTTCATCTATTTCAAACCTTCGTAAGAGTTTGGTGCTTCCGTCGGAGATTCAGTCATCTTTGAAGAGTGTTATTATTAGGTTGACTGGTGCATCAGTATACTTATTTTCTTATAATAGTCAGTTAATTTCGCTCATGTTTGGCAATACAGTTGATCATCACCCGTTGAAAGTTCCATTTTCAGATGATTCAACACTAAGCTTTGCACGGACTGGTTATCAATCATATCACGTACGTTATTGCTACCTCTTGAACATTAACTACAAAGTAAACAAGTGAGGATCTTTCGAGCAAAAGATCTTCAAACACAATACGAGAGAGACTGTACGGAATCATTCAATCCAGAGCGGTCAGCAGGAGTATTAATTCTGCTATTTTTCTGCTCACGAAGAGTATTCAACAAGAACCCCAAGAACTCGGAGCGATCCTCTTGTTGTCCTAACGAGTATCCAGTGGACTTCAAAGACTCCAGGATATCGTTTGATGGAAAAGATGACACATTTTCACAAAAATGCATCTGCATGAACAATTGTTCGAGTTTGGTGAATAAGTAGGAAACATTCTCGTTCTCGTTCATCGTTAAAACCACGTACTTGAAATTCTTCTTCGTGAACAGCACTTACAAAATGCTATTCGTGTAGCAAGTTTTTCCTCATCCAATTTCCTTCGCAAGAATTTCAGGAAAACTGTCTACTGATTCGTAAGGAAGAACATGTTTCCCAGAATCTGTATCAGAACCATTTCTCAAGCTGATTGAATTCTAAGTCTTCTATTGTGTTACCAGACACTGGTATGGTACTATCAAAAATGGTGTAACCATGTTTGATATATTCAGATAGATAATTTATATAATAGAAAACAGAAGCGGCCCTAATATTTACCCTTGTGGTACCCCAAGCATAATATCTTGAGTGTATGATGCAGTGTCACTCAGAGTCACAACCATTTTTCTGTCAGATATAAATGATTTGATCCATTCAAGTACGAATCCTCTGATAGCCATATTGTACAATTAACTGATCCAAATTTCATAGTAACTGAGTCAAAAACTTCCGCTAGATCAAATAAAATTGATTCTAGATGCTTTTCTTCATCATTGGTATTGAAAATGAACTCAAATTTACTACCAGTTTTATTTGCAACTATGCACATAATAATGAAATGTAGCGATAGTTGTCAATATCTACTTGGGAACCTTTTTTATTATGTATTGGCATAAGCTTTGTAATTTTCCAGACTTCAGCAAAAACTCCCTGTAAAATTAATTCATTTATAACCTTCACAAGAATGCTCGATAATGTTGGGGTGATATATTACAGAGCTTTAACCAATCCACTAGATGATTTATTTTTTAGATTATTCATCGTTATTAGTAGTTCAGGTACAGCACATCTTTGGATAATATTGTGTTTTCACTAGTAATACCACTAGAGATCAAATTATTTCCGGAAACTTTTTCGGGCTCATGATTATTTTGAAAATTTTCGGAGTCCCAGACGAGGAAAACTTTCTAAAAATATGCATGAGCGAAAAAAAATTCCGGATATTAATTTGACATTGTGTGTATTCGGTAAGAAAATTTCACACCGAATTGAGGTGCAAAATCACATGTTTTTGAAATTTTGGCAGCAATTATTTTGGCCTCCAAATTGGTAATTTCTACTCATCGTAGTTGCATGGGAATATCATTTCAAGACAGAAAATAGTATATTCTTCAATTTCACATATGTTTTGAGTAACTACAAGTGGTAGAAAATTGTTTTTTGAGTTTTTATTAATATGGATTATGAGCGCTTTAATGGTATGAAATTCATAACCAGCGTCAGCAAGCATCAAGCATAGGAGGCTGTGATCATTGTATTTTGACAGATCAGAACATTAAAAAAACTCATGTGTTGCTGCAATAGACAATATTGCACGGCCAGTAAAACCAACAAAATTCTTTGTTTGAAAAATGAATCGATTTGGAAATCATACTATATGCAAAATATGCGTGAAATTATCTGATGTAATGATCAATCATCGTACCATGACTTATTTACTCGCATTAATAAAGGATTGTGACTTGAAGAAAGAAAATTTGTTCCGAATTGTCCAGGAATATTTGCATCTGAACTACGCAAAATTGAAAGCACTGAATGGGAAAAAGGTGAATAAATTAGTGTCTAAATATTATATATATTTCGCCATCAAGAAGAGGAGAGGGGTCCGAAGAACATAGAAACTTTTGTTTGAAAGTGGTTGACAATGTTTCGTGGTGTATTTCATCGGTTCGGCCTTCCATTGTCTAATATAATATAAATTGATTTGAAATCCCTGAAGGAAATTGAAAAGATAAACCGAAAAATAACAATTTTGTTTAACAAAAAACTGAAAATTACAAAGAAATACCATACAAGCAACAACCAAAAAAATAAAAAAATTGAAAAGTTAATGCAAGCTGAAAATTAAAAAATATTATCAACAAGAAATGAAACTAGAAATTAAAACATTCGGGTGATACTGGAATATATTTGAATTGATTTGAAATCCCTGATATTCCAATATATTACACATTTTCGTTCAAATTTTTGGAACACCTAATACTTTTTATATTAAGAAACTGTTGAGTACGTCTTCTATTCATAATTTTTTATTTACAGTTATCACGGATTTTTTCCTAATCTTCATTCAGTTCAGCGTCAATAAGGTATTGAAGCTTGATCTTCCAAAGTTAATGAAGTGACTCTACAACCATATCGATTTAATCTACGACTCTGGGACATCTCATTCAACGGGTCACGCCCGATGAAAGTATTCATTTGTTGTGAATTCTGATACTATCGAATCCACAAAACCCCTCCAAAACCAAGAGTCCCTTTCAAACTTAATCATATAAATAATAGAGCATTGAAGAATTAATCACTACCACCAAGCTTTCGAAGTTGAGCAGCTAATAATTTGTTCTAACCGTAAGTAGATTAATGTGAATTCTGCAAGTCTCTAATAATTGGTTATTATTGTTTCAGTAAATATGTTCAAGTTTTTCGTGATAGTTGCTTCTGTTGGTGAGTATCACTAAATTCATTAATCACTATTGAACAAAATTCAGTTCCTCAATCTAATTATTTTTGATAGAATAAGTGTTCTAATTGCCAGATGTCAATGTAGATGTAAATCAATAATTTCAAAATATCTCAACTTCTCGTGATCGTTACTTTTGTAGACTTCACATATCTAATAAAGAAAACAGATAATTAAGCATTTCGAAGAAAAAAATGAATGGACACTGAAATAAGTTTAATAAAGCAGATATTTGGCAAAAATATCTAATATCTAATAAAGAAAACAGATAATTAAGCATTTCGAAGAAAAAAATGAATGGACACTGAAATAAGTTTAATAAAGCAGATATTTGACAAAAATTAAACAGTTTTTTTTCGATTTGATGACACTATGAACGCTTCCAAACAAGAAAATGTATGTAAATTACTGTATATATTCAAAAAGTAGTATTTCAAATAAATACAAGTTTCTATATTCTGGTAATGTTTTCCAAACTATCAAGTTCGTTGTAGATATTATCAACTTCTCATGTCATCAAGCGATACCATTCCTGATACTACAAGAAACTATTTATAAATTCAGTTGAGTTGAGTATATAGTATATACCAATTGTTTCTTATCTCAAAGTTGAAAAGAAATGATTTGAAACTTGAGAAACATATGGTAATTTCCAGAAAAAACAATATTTGGGATACATACTATTTTAATTCTCAAAATGATCACAAAATTTAAGATTTACATAATATTAGAATCCCATTCACTGCCATATCTGAAAAACAAATTATGGAGGTGAAGGATAAAAAAAGAACACAAATAGGAAAGTAGATCAGTTGTTCTTATTTCTCATTTCAAAACAGTAGAATATCCCATCAAGGTTGAAAAAGAGATTTCTGGCTATCGAAATATCCATTTCTTCTTCAAATTCTTGCGAATTTCCTGATCTATTATCAACAAAACGTGTTTCCACTCATTTTTGAATTTTTGTAAAAGAACATTTTCAAATCTTGCGTGAAAATCTCAAAATGAATTTTATTAGGAAAATTTAGAGGTTACTAAATTAATGAGTTGACTTCATTATTATAAATCACTTTCATATACAGCTATCAAACAAAACACAATTTGTTATAGCTGGTACAGCTGGCCAACGGAAAAAAAGTTTTGATAGATTTTCAGCTTCAACCTTGGTATTCAAAAGTACGCCATTTTGCAGGGTTGATTCCTGGCTAGGTGCCTTGCAAAATAAATGAACTCGATCACTTAAAGATTGTGCTTACTTTCCCAGACAAAAACATAATTGATTTTCATTGGAATTGTCCTTCGATCGAATGTGTTTTCTACACTTCACAGTAATACAACATAGTTTTTTTCGAAAAATCATTTGTCCAATATATGTATCTCTGTTTCAGCTGTCTTATCCTCTGCTGGTAAAACAAGGCATGAGCAAGAAAATGTAGTTCTTGAACCTTTTCCTTCAGCCAGCTTTAGTTTTAGCTCCTTTGGTGGGGCAGATTTTGGGGGGCACACTAGTAGCAAAGGCAGCAGCGGAGCAGAATTATCCAGCCTGGCACACAGTTCAGCCATTCAAGCTAAAAATGCGGCCCAAAATCAGCACACTGCTGGGAGCCAGGCTGCCTATGGAGTCAAAAATAACTTGGCTAGCGTTGCTTTGGGCGTAAGTACATCTTTTCGAATATAAAACAGCAGAAAAAATTAAAGGTTTGGATCTTTTTGATTTCTAGCAATTTCCTTTCAATTTGAACAAGATTCCTTTGGCTAGGATTTGATCAAATGAGCGAATGGATGTCATTACGATGTCATCGATGACATAAGAAAGTCAAACTCATTCCGTGACATGAAGTCATTATTCTTTGAATGGATTATGTGTTTTCTCTTTTAAGAAGAAGAAATATCATTCAAAAAAACGTTTCTATATAAGCATCTTATTCGTTCTTATTGCCTCTCAAACATAATATAAAATGCATAAAGCGTCGGTATTCTTAATCAATGACATCAAAGCCACCTTATTCTTACCATTTGACCAAGGACATAACTTAACCTGACTACGTTGTCAGGAACTTAACTTAAAAATATTTCGTTATATGTTTGTTTCACAATTCGTTCTGCATTTTCAAGTACGGCAAATTGAATATGAGGACTTTCGAATACTAGTCCCATCTCCCAAATATTTCTTACATGTGACGTAAAGTGACCTTGTGAGCAGAATTGATCAACTCATTTAATATTTTCAGGCAGCTCAAGCCGCTCAAGCAGCTTTAGTGGGGAAACAAGCTCTTGTAGGAAACCTGAAAGCCCAACTTGCAGAAGCCCAAAGCCAACTCCAGGTCGAAGTTGCCCAATACCAACAAACTGAGTCGGCTGCTCGTGCTGCAGAAGAAGCCGCTGCTCAGGCGCAAAACCAGGTCAACACTCTTTCGGCTGCCCTTGCTGCCGCCCAAGGTGGGAGCCAGCATGCATCTCAAGCTGCAGCTGAAGCTGCCAATGCAGCTGCATCTCAGCATGCCATGATTCTGGAAGCTAAGCAACGTTTGAACCAAGTCCTTTCCCAACTCCAGAACGCATTGAGTGGTTTACAAGAAACCAAGGCATCTGCCAAAAAAGCAGCTGCAGCTGCTCATTCTGCACAGTCCAATGCAGCGGCGGCGGGGGCGGCTGTAGTTGCTGGTGCTTCAAAAAGTGCCTATGGAGGTGTGGATAGTTATGGTCATGGGTGGTAGTTTCGCAGGTTTTATATTTTTTACTGTGATTTCATTCATCAAATCTGAATGAATATTTTTGCATCAAAAATAAAATATATTATGACATATTTTGGTTTAATTTCAACCAGAGAACGAATATTGATAGGGAGACAAGTAGACACATACATATACGAGTGTTTGACTCTTTCAAACTAGGTTTATAGCATGTGATACGTAATGAAATATATCTCATCAAAATGAGGCTATGAGTTCTAGGTCACTCGGTTTTGCCTCAGGGTCTATCTTTCCTTCTGTGGCTACTCCTGTTGGACAATTTGCTAGATGTCCTGCTTACTTCATTAGCTAAAATCATGCAAGACACAGTATTTTTATTCCAGTGTGGGAAAAATATTTCAATATAACAAGCAAAACGGTAATAGTCTCCTTCACCAAAAAGAGAAATCTGAATGGTTCAACTCCAGTTTCATTAAATAGTGAGGTTGATTCATTTGCAGTATAAGTGAAATCTAACGTTTTTTATCCTTCATGACAATGCTTAGGGCAACTCCATTTGGAAAACGTTTCACGCAAAGCCAATATATCCATATGGACCTGTGGAAAATTTTGAGGCCCAGTATCCAAACAAATCCATTGGACGTCTGTTCCACCCAGACGTATTATCATACCAATTTCAACAGACCACGTACAGAAGAACTGTCTAGTTTGATCCTTCTAGATCCACCTCCTCTTTCCACCTTCTCTTCACATCTTTCTGAAGAGAGACCACTGGTCGTCATACTCGAAGTCATGGCTATCTGAGAACGACCTTCCTCTAACAGTCAACTAAGACCTGTCTTATACATACATGATCTAGAGTAGAGAGAAATGGCATCCCAAGAAAGAGAAAACATTAGGAGCAGTTAGCTGTTGGTTCAAAGATGGACCAGAAACCTCCAGGTTTTGGTGAAGGTGTATGTAGTTGCAGACAAGGACAGAGTTCAGCCTACCTAAGAATCTGTGAGATCATATTTCAGAAGAAAATCTAGACCATTGATATATGTGTGAATATTTTGGCAAAAATCAACTTCAAACATGAGTCAATAAAAATTATTGAATAACTAGCAACTCTAAAGGTTTTTGACTCTCATCGAGTGAGGTCAAAATTGATGGTTCATTTTTGAGAAACTCTCCTTAATAGGAAGATTCAACAAATTGCCTCTGGTGTGGGTTCTTGGCCACTCTAGGAGAAACCTCAAAAGCAAAAAATTTGCCTCTGAGTGAGAGAGATTACTTCAATGTCCCCCCCTTTTATTTTTTGAATAAGTCAACACAAAAAATTTAAAATTGGGGTAATGAAATTGATGCTTGAATACGTTAATTTGAAGTGAAACGGACAGATGGTGACTGGGCGCCATCTGGGAAAAAAATTAAATGGAAAGGGGGGTCTTGTGATACATCATTTTGAAGCTCCTGACAAATACTTCGAAACCCTAGAATATGAAGTAAATATCTTCACCTAAAACAAAATGGCGAATCATTCAATAATTTACTGAAGACAAACACAGTAATATCGATATTCCTAAAAGTATTCCTTTTAATCTGCCATATGGCAATTCCAACAACCCGATAAGGTTTGTTTATAAAAACAACAAAAAATGTCAGTACGACAATGAACATAATTGTGCAATTTGAATATTCTCATTTAGTTTTCGGTTTTACTAGTAGAAAGGTACCACGTCAAAAAATCTCTGAAATGGTCAATTCTCGTCCATTGGAAAAGAAAATTGAAGCAATTTCTATTAACGGTGCGACGCGCAACTTTTATGAGACCGAAAGGATTTTCAATGAACGTTTTTCGAATCGTTCTATCTGTAGAAAGTATTTGAAGGAACTTGTATCCAAATTCATACCTACCGGTAGTGTATATAACAAAAAGCCCCCAGGTCATCCGTCCATTCCGGAAGAACAGCAAGTGCAAATAATTGGTGAGATGGTAGTAAATCCTGAACAGTCTACTTATTCCGTCGCGAATGTTTGTGAGGTGTCTCCTTCTGCTGTGTGGAGACTCTTAAAGAGGAATAGGTATCATCCATACAAAATTTAAATGGTACACCAGTTAACTGAAGATGTACAAAATTAAAATGGTACACCAATTAACTGAAGATGACCCTGACCAAAGAACAGAATTCTGCGAAATCATGATGGAAACCATTGCAAGGCATCCTTCCTATCTCCATAATATTTGTTTAAGTGGCGAATGTACATTTTTTAAACGGCAATGTTCACAGACAAAACTGCCGTTATTGCAGTAACACCAACCTTCACGTTTTCCGGAAAACACATACCTAATATCCAGAAAAAAATAACGTGTAGGCAGGAATATTGGGAAACCATATTGTAGGACCTCTATTTATTGATCAAAATTCAACAGGGGAACTGTATTTGAATATGCTGGAAACTACTGTTGACCCTCTCATCACTGAAATCGTTGAAGCGAATCCTAATGAATTCGATATGGATATTATATTCCAACAAGATTGAACACCACCACATTACCCCAGACAAGTTAAGAAACTATTTAGGTATTACTTTTCCCGATCGTTGGATTGGCCGTCGAGGTCCTACAGCATGGTCAGCCCGCTCGCCAGATTTGACACCTTTGGACTTTTTTATGGGGCTATTTGAAGCAAAAGATGTACGAAACTAATCCTGCTTCAATATTGGATATACGGCAGAGAATAATAAATATTTGTAGAGATATTAACGATACTGTGTTCAAAAATGTTCGTCGTGAGATACCGGATAGGCTGTTCATATGTCAAGAAGTTCAAATCAACTATTTCTAGCATCTTCTGGACTGATCTCAAGCTCATTACCTCATATTAAGTAGGTTAATGTCAATATATTGAGGCAATTATTGAAAGTTCCGCCATTTTGTAGTAGTTGAAGAGATTGACTTCATATTGTAGGGTTGTGAAGCATTTTTCAGGACTTTCAAAATGATTGGTCACAAGACCCCCCTCTCCATTTAATTTTTTTCCCAGTTTGCCCCCAGTCGCCATCTTGAAACTTTCATCTGTCAATTTCACTTCAAAATAAAGTATTCATAAATTAATTTCATTATCTCAAATTTCAATTTTCTTGAGTTGGCCTGTTCAAAAAATGAAAGCGGGGTGACATTAAAGAAATGCATTGTATATAGGTAGTGTTAGATAGGTAGGTCCATTCGATCCTCCTCTGCAATTAGCGTAGTTTTATTGTGGCTCACACCTTTTTAAACTTACCCAAATGAATCCAGGTTTTTAACGAAAGCGATTAGTGCTGATATTGGTGACAATACTTCTCTGATAAAAAATTAGTTTTATAAGTGATATGAACGAAAGATGATGAAACCTACAAAGTGTCGCATTTTTGTATTCGAATCCTAAACATCATCAATTCGTAGAAATATTCATTTCAACTTAACAAATTGATTTTCCGAAAAGAAACACTGCACTCCTCCATCTTGATACAAAATCCGTTCTTTCCCAAAAATTAATCTTTCCTAAAAATATACCCTTTCAATTTGAATCGATTTTCGTTCCATAACAAAAATGTGAACATAATCTTGTTCAGTTTTGCAGTGTTACCAATGCACTGAATATTCCCGTTATATCGTCAAAAATAATTCTCACCCATCTACGGAATCAGATAAAATTTTATAGGATATTTCATAAGATAAATGCCATGAGAATGAATGAGGAATCGTTAATCGGTCAATTAATAAAGATAATACTCTTGTTTTCGAATCAATAAGAAGGACAGTGTTACGGAATTGGAAAACTCAGAAATAATTCGATGTAAACCCACAGTTGAATCTTCGAAATATGTTTTTTAAATTTAAAAGAAAAACTTCAAGAACAAAACTCAAGCACTACAGAAAAATCCTTAAGGCGCTCTCAGAGCGGTGCCTGTGCGAAAGTAGTGATTCACATTGCATTTGAATCGCTGGAGATTAAATTCATTTGGAAAAACTTTTTTAGGAAGTTTATTCCACATAAACGCAATTCTCCAAATGGAAGAGTTCTTAAACAGTGGAGTTCGAGGTACACTGAGTTGAACCTTCAGAAGAATGAGCAGCCACAGTCCGTCGCGTATTTCGGATATGTATCGCTCTTGATGGAATCAAATGTGTCAAGTCACTTGAAACTTCCCGTGATAGTTGATATAGAAGAGAGACAATTCGATGTTCCAGACCATTGAGATTGCAAGTGATGTTCGCGTCTCCAATCAGGCGGATGGCTTTTCTCTGGATGGGATACAGCAGCTTCAGGGTATGGTTAGGGACGGAGCTCCACATATTAGAACTGTAATAAATACAATATCATATTAGACAATGGAAGTCTGAACTGATGAAATACAATACTTAACTGTCTATCAATCCTTGAGAACCCTCTCGCTATTGTCGTTTTTGTTTTATTTAAATAAAATTTGCCGATAGCACGAATGCCGGTCTTTTTGAAATCTGATCATTTGGTATACCTACTTATATTTTCTCTCATTATGCGGTTCCATAACTGAATTTCAATCTCAATTAAAATGCTTTCCATCCACTATTCTATTATCGATAGATTGACGAAAAGTCTTTTATTTGGTTTTGTTCTCTCAATTTCATCTTACTCTACGAGGATGGTGTTTTTCTGAGTCCAAGACAAAATGAAACTCCAAGGTTTCAAATATAAAGTATAATAAGTAGAAAAACGACTCCATGGACAAAATAATAAAAAAACAACGTGTAAAATGTTAAATTCTATAAAATGAAACAAAATAGAACAAAGAAAATTCCGCCAATTTCACCATGCTGCTAACTATCAATTCAACCTGTTGAACAACTACAAATACAACAACTTGGTACAAAATACTTTTAATTTTACCTTTACTTTAGGGAGAGTAGTGTATAACTTCAAATTTTCGGCATATTTTGTAGTTGTACTATGAACTTTTGCTAAATAATCAGCACTATAAACCCAACAATGTTTAACCTCTTTTCAAATAGAAAGTGGAGTCAGACAAAATAATATGTGAACACTCTCTCAATATCAACTGGTTAGTAAAAAAAAAAAAACAAACACTCACATTACGCCTCTTTGGGTGGTTCATAGTCAACCATAGGTTCCGTTGACCCAGTGTGTCTCCGACACCAACACTTTTATTTTAAACTCCCCTGTAGCCAATACCGGCTTACGATTTCACTAGCGATTTTCCTTAAATTTCGCACCACGCGCTTAGACAAAATAACTCCCCTATTTTGACCACCTTCCTCAGCTTCGAAGGACTAGGGATGAGACCCCCGACCTCGTCTCAACGGGCTCCGGTGACCGACTTTTTGTGTCTCTCCCAAAAAACTGCCAAGCCTTCGCGTCAGCAACGCTAGCTACAAAAACCTCATCTCAACGTTTTTAACCTTCCCAAGCGTATGATCATCGGCAGGATGTAATATATTCATTTGTTTAATCTAGCTCAACTTCTACATGACCACAACGATGCTCAAAGGTCTGACAGTCATAAAGTAGTTCAGCGCATTTTCAACTGGAAAAATATCGACACCGAAGAAACGAGTGATTGATCTCGATCTTGCAATTCCAGCGATATGATTGTGTCAAGACATATTGGTGTCCATTTTAACTCCCAAAAAACGTATTATATCCTGTTGGGAGACTTTTATCTTCTTGGAGAAAACCGATTCCTGGGTTTTTGTAGCATTGAATTCAATCTGGTTACTTTCATCCCAATTCAAAATAATTTCTAGATTATCCTGCTGCATGTGAAGATGTGCCTCCGTAGCCGATGTCCTGTAGCAATCTACTACTTGTAGATTGCTCCAAATACTAATTATCAAGATTCACAAATTCAGAAGGGGGGAGCTGCATTGTAATATTTGGTCATTGAGGGTTTTGAAATAGGGGTTTCTATTCAATTTATTTATTTCCAATGCATCCAACAAATTCATATCCCTTCCTTCACTGCACGTAAGGAGAATTTTCATGTTTTCTTCGTTTTTATGTATTCTTACACTTTTTCACCAATCTCTTATCCAATTGAGAATATTTTATTTGCTCTAACATACAGAAATTTCGAAAATATCAATTCTAAATCTAGGAAGAGGAGAGAGGCAAAACTAATTATATGGTGATACCTTGAAGATGATCACTTGGTGATCGAAACACGTGTCGAGGTGTTGAAATAACGATTTGGTGTTGAAAAGTATTCATTACTACAGCAAAGTTTCCAAACAGTGTATCACAAACACCTGGGGTATTTTATTTTCTCATTATTAACAAAGTATTTGTATCAAGTATTTCTTGTACATTTCGAATCACGTCCGAAGTACGTTTGTGGTCAGAAGTAATTTTGTTTTCGAACATACATTACCACCCAAATGGAACGAACATAGAAAAATATATTAGGTAACTCATGGTAATGGAGTTTATTGCACTTGATATGTTTTCAATATCACGTCTTATACCATACATACTTATATTTTCAACTTTTGTCATAAATAACTGTTCAGATTCTCATTTTTACTGGAGAATTGAAATGTCGAAAAGGCTATTTCGAAAAATTGCAAATATAATCGAATAGATCAAATTGATATTCATAATTCATTTCACATATTTGCTTTTATTTCTTCAATATCGTGTATTATCCCCTTATCTAAATTATATTCCAATTATTCCTGAAGAAAATATGAAAACAAAGCGAAAGTTTGCCTTCATTGTGAGTCAAGCTTATTTTGGCTCTTTTTTTAACTACGGCTCTGGTTGTTACAAACGGTCACGCCTGACGAAAGTATACATTGGTCATTGATCGTAAATTCTGTTACAATCAAATTCCACAATACCCCTCCATCAGTGAGACTCCCTTTCAAACTTTATCATATAAATATTAGAACAACGAAGAAGGAATCACTACCACCAAGTTTCCGAAGTTGAGTAGCTGTAGATTTGCGCCAATCGTAAGTACTTAAGCTGTATACATTTCAGTGATCTCATATATTATGTTACTGTTTCAGTGAAGATGTTCAAGTTTTTCGTGATAGTTGCTTCTGTCGGTGAGTGTTAATTTTAATCAATATCATAGTTATATTTCACATGTGAATAGAAATAATATGAAAAATTATTCTGTTCTACCCTATTTTCAAAATGGGTTGATAATTTTCAAAATAAAGTCAAACGTTCGAAAATTCAATATGAATGGAAATATTTTGAATATATCGCCAAGAAAGGAAATTAATTTCCTTTATTTTCCTAATATTGCCGTGGAAATCGTCATAAATTACACAATAAAATATTCAATGTCTTTTATGTTTTTTTGTAACAAGTCTAAAATAACATCATCGTAGAATACAAAATTTCAATGGAAAGCGATAATATTATTCCGGATATTCAAAAATGTTTGTTTTGTGAATGTGAATGAATTGAAATATCAAATAACTTCATTTGGTACTTCAGTACATACATGTTATGCGTCGAATGGAAAATGAATATCATTATAGTTTCAATTCCTAATGAAAAACTTCACAACTAATTTTTCTCTTTGTTCAACACATCATATTTATGAATTCATACAAATTTCTCATGAACTATAACTGCCAGTGTAACTAAAATTTAGATTTTTCAATGGGAAATTAAATTGCTAAATGTTGCTGACCTAATGAATCATCATTACTTCTAAAACTGAATTTGGTGAAGTTAAAAATTCTAGATTGCTTGAAAACTAACAATATTATTTTGTACATACAAATCCGCCAACTGCTATCAATGGTAGATACAAGGGGGTTCAATATGCGAAAAATTCATTCATGTCACTAAAAACTCCTAACAGCAACAAGATATTCAACATTTTTCCCTGGAAAATTAACAGAATGTGAATCGTAAGATGTTAACATTCTTCAAAAATAACTGAAAAGAGCCCAATCACAATGCCGTGCCTTTCGATAGCTACAAATTTTCACTTATAATACAACTAGCGATCCGCCCTGACTCCGCACGGGTGCAATATCTTAAAAAAAATCATTCAAATTACATTCTGTAAAGGGTCATATTGATGTATATTAAATGCACAATGTATGTAAGGTACCCAACTGAATAAGGATTAATGCTGCATTGTTTGAAATCGCTTCGTAGAAAAGTAAAGGATAAAAAATAGTTGTTGTAGACTTTTTGGTAGACCTTTTTACTGTACAGTACTGTACGGTATTGTAGTACTGTATCTATCTCTTAGGGTTTGGCCAGCGTTAGCTTCTTTGCGACATCACATTAGAAAACTCTAAAAATTATTAGTTTTTCTCTACTATATTATACATCTTATATACATATAAACTTCCTCTTGAATCACTATTTTTGTTCAGAGCAGATACTTGAGTTTGATACAAAATGTTTATAAAAGAAGATTTCTCACTATCGGTACAATAATATTGGTAGAATACAATGCCAAGGTCATTCAATTGTTATCTTTAGAAAAACTGTTTTCCTATAATGTTACAGAATATAATATCATTTCACTGACCATCTGGGAGTTAAATATAAAAGTAGGCGAAGACTTAAAGATCGCCCTGTAATGTTCAAGCCAATGATACGTTTTTATGAACTATTTGTATGAATTCATACATAGGCTATGGAAACCATTTCATTGTTACTCTTTTCATCATCAACAGCTCCATAACATCTCTTCAAAAACGTTCATAGCATGAATAGGTTGGAATCAGTCCTGGGTAACTCAGGAAAATTCGTTTCAAAACATTTTATACTTGTAACGCACTGTTTAAAACCCTTGGTGTAGTAATGAATATTTTTTCCCAACACCAAACCGTTATTTTAACACCTCGACACGTGTTTCGCTCACCAAGTGGTCATCTTCAAGAGGAACATCAAACTGATCTTTCTCTTGTTCGATCTTCCTCTTAAAGATGATCAGTTGGTGATCGAAACACGCGTCGAGGTGTTAAAATAATGGTTTGGTGTTGGGAAAAAACTCCAGTAAAAACATTTTGTGCTAGGACTTAGGCCAGAAATGATTCTATAGCATAATCATATCAGAGAAAAATTTCCATAATAAAGGATAAATGTGTCAACAAGTTCTGTCCAATTTTTGGATGAGAGCCTCCAGTGTGGTTTCATCCCCAATTGTTGATGGTTTGGTGGTTCCAATAGGAATATAAGATGATATCTCTTCAGGGGACATTGTTGTGTCATCAAAATCAAGATTTTATAAAAATATCCTTGGTGTTTGACCTATATTTGGAAAACTCATGAACGTTGAGTTATTTACCACACATAAAATGATTTACTTATGCTAATTCGAGAAAATTATGAGATGAGGAAACCAAATTTTTATCGAAGAATATACAAAGAAAGTATATATTCACTCTCAAATGACTTATCATCATTCCAGCTGCCATATCTTCTGCGGGTAAGGTAGGATTCGAGCAAGAAAACGTAGTTCTTGATCCACATCCTTCAGCAAGCTTCAGCTACAGCAGTTCCTTCGGAAAAGGAGATTTTGGTGGATATGATATTGGTAAAGGTAGCAATGGAGCAGTTCTTTCCAGTTTGGCACACAGTTCAGCAGTACAGGCAAAAAATGCCGTTCAAAATCAGCACACTGCTGGAAGTCAAGCTGCTCATGAAGTCAAAAACAATTTAGCAAGCGTTGCAATTGGTGTGAGTATGATAGTAATACATGTAATGATATGGATGGGATATATTGGATAAATTAATGGAGATGAGATTCACAAAAGCGTTTGGCTGATACAAGTGAAATATTTAATCACGAATTATGGCGGTAGGCTTGTATATTGTTTTCAAAGAGTATTTTATATTGTGTCGGAGCGGCAAATATTTCTATCTTTAGGAATTTAAACGATAATTGAAGATAAAGAACTCTGAATAACTCTTCCAGTTATCGAAAGAAAATTATCAATATATTTTCATCTCAATAAAATGGAATTTGGTGGTTTCAATATTCAGCTTTCGATTTTTTTTAAGATTAACATGTTAACATTAATTAATTCGAATTTGAGAAATTCCTTCTACAATTCAGTTACTCAGTTCTCTAGCCTATTCTGTTCCCAACAGATAGTCCATTGAAAACATAAATATTTTTTCAGTTAAACTTGCAGGAGTTCTATAGAACACCTGAGATAAAAATTTTACTTTGAGATTTGAAGTATTCATTTTCGAGTTCTAGAGCCAAAAGATCAGATGATGTTACATATGAATCCAGCAGATCAGAATCGGTATTTAAATGATAGGATTTTTTTTCTAGTTCAACGTCAGAACTATCTCAAGTGGTTCTACTTCTTTTCCAGTGCCGCTACTCGTATTTTTTCAGTATTCTTTCATTAAATTTTGACTATCACTTATTTTGATTGCCGATATGGTATCTCTTTCGTTTCCTCTTTTCATTTTTTCATTATTCTCCAGAAACCATTCATAAAATGAAAAAAAAAACACTTGCTAGATGTGAATAGAATCGAATAACTATAAAATAATTTCATATTTTAAATTTCTATTGAAATCAAATTATTTTTTAGAGAATATTATATATAATAACACCTCAAAAAAATTTCAGGCAGCTCAAGCCGCTCAAGCAGCTTTAGTGGGAAAACAAGCCCTTGTAGGAAACCTGAAAGCCCAACTTGCAGAAGCTCAGAGCCAACTCCAGGTCGAAATTGCTCAATACCAACAAACTGAAGCAGCAGTACGTGCTGCGGAAGAAGCCGCTGCTCAGGCGCAAAACCAAGTCAATACTCTTTCAGCTGCCCTCGCTGCTGCTCAAGGAGGAAGTCAACATGCATCCCAGGCTGCAGCTGAGGCTGCCAATGCTGCTGCATCTCAGCACGCTATGATTGCAGAAGCCAAGCAACGTTTGAATCAAGTTCTTTCCCAACTACAGTCCGCTTTGAGAGAATTGCAAGATACCGAAGCATCGGCTCAAAAAGCAGCCGCAGCCGCTCACTCCGCACAGTCGAATGCCGCAGCTGCTGGAGCTGCAGTAGCAGCTAGTGCATCGAAAGGTGGTTTCAGCGGTTATGGTCATGGGTGGTAGAACCATTATTTAATTGCATTAAGAACCCAGTGATACTTTTCAGAATAATACATTTTTTTACATCTCATATTTTTGTTTTCATATTTCCCAAGTAATCATGAGAATTACAATTCTGGTGTTTTGGAGAAGTGCTTCTTTTGGGTTAATTCCAAGTCAGAGGTTCTAGTTTCACCATTTATTCAGAATGAACAATGGAGAAGTCATAACTCAAAATGTATCCTCCAAAATGTGATAAATATTGTTATCAATCTGGTTTACATATAAACTCCTCATTTGAACTCTACTTTTTGTGGACTCAATGGACACAGTCAGAAAGCAATTTTCAAAGAGGACTGATTTTCATAGGATATATTGCTAGAAACAACGGTCACGAAGTGGATATTATCGACTCAATTATTTCTAAAGAAATGCAGAAACAAGCTCTGAACCAGGTCTATCCAGTTGCAAAGAGTGATACAATACATTATGTAGCTCTAACTTACTTTGATGATCCTACTAAAAATTCGCTTATTTTTGAAATAAAAAAGGATTTAGCGTAGCCTACAGAACAAATAATAATTCGAGTGAATTCATTAAAAACAATTAGATGAATGGAAACAAGAATTCATTATTTGCGAACTATTTTTTGACGTATTGCATTTGGAAGAGAAAGGTTCAAAGTCAACCTTTTAGAATGTTTAGATATCAATAGACGTGAAAATTCGGGATCATTGCTCAATAATCCCTTAGATTTGAATTGTTCCCCCATTGAATTCAGTTTGCAACGAGAAAATTGATAAATAGGTTACGTTAGGTTAGATTAGGTTAGGTTAGGTTATTGTGGCTCATAGGTACTCATTCACACTCAATCAAATAAACCCAGCTTTTTAACGAAGCCGATTAGTTTATATGGTGAGTGATCTTTCAGGTTAGATGGTAAGCTTCGAAGGGTGAATAAATGCCTTAGAGTGAGCCAATCCTGGAAGATTCCGCCAGAAGTCCATAAATCTTTTTGTCATCTAGGTGTTCAATCCAGCACCCTCCTTTGCAAGGGAGTCAGCAGCCTAATTGCCTTCCAGGCCAGTATGGCTAGGAATCCAGACCGCTTGACTGTGCGAGAATATTTTTGTTGACTTGTGTATGACGTTGGATTCTTCATCCCTCCGCACACAATTCAATAGCGTAAATTTCCGCTTGAAATACAATTGCATATGTTCCTAGGCAGGATGATATCTCTGTCCTGGGTCTGCGACTGAAAACACCTACACCAGAACCGGAATATGTTTTTGATCCATCTGTGAACCAACAACTATCTGCACTTTATATTTCCCTTCTTCCGGAGGATACAGTCCTCACTACTTGGGAACAGTATTTTATGAGGCAGGAGTTGACAGTTGGAGACATAAAGCCAGAGGTCATTTCCTGAATGCTGTGACTTTCAGTCTCAACCAACAGTCTGTTGCACTCTGCATTAAATTGATTTGTTCAATTGGCAATGTGCACAAGTCTATATGCAGTGCATCTAGCCTTTCTCTTCAGAAAAATATGGAGAGGAGGTAGATCTAGAAGGATCTCCATGGCCGCTGACGGTGAATTGGTAATTAGGGCAAATCTTAAAAGTAAGTAAAATGCTGGCTCAGGTGAAGAATATAAATAGTCTTATGAGTCCAGTCTTCGATAGGTGAATAGTTTAGGTAATTAATTTATCATGTATAAATTTGTCGAGTAGTATAAGTCATAATGATTCAAAATCCTATGAAAGCACGACACAGAATTTGTACAAACAGTATTGTGACGCCTGAAGATGCTATTGTATAGCGAAACACGTGTCAAATCACACATTATCACAGATGTCATGGTGTATCTGTGGACTTACCTTTAGTTCTAGTTGCAAGTCAGTTGTCATTCTGTTATACATGTGAGATGTAAGTTCATATAATGACGAAAAAAATTATAAAAATAAAAAGATAGAAAAGTTAAGCTGAACTGATTTTTATAATAAGAAAAAGCTAGCATCTTCAAAAAACAACATTGCTGTTTTGTAAACTTTCAAGTGGAAATCTTACATTGAAGTGTGTTTTTTAAATACTTACATAGTAAATACTCGCAAATTTGTTGATAATGGAATGAATAAAATGATAATGTAGACTGAAAAACTAATATCTAAAGGTGTTTTAAGATGAAGCGAAAGAAACCCTTATGCATGTATTTTGCTTTAAAATATAATTTGAAGAATTGAATTGATGAACTATTGACTAGTGTCTCAAAGCTACTATGGTTTGTAACTGAACTATTCTTATGGTTTCAGTATTGAGAAATATTGGGAATACTCATATGTTATTTTAACAATACCTATTCTCAATTCATTATCGAAATCTTGATACGGATCTGCTTTTCAATAAAATGATGAAATATCGTCCTATATGATCTAGTTTTATCGAGAATCTTTCAGAATTCTTCAAGATACAGTTGAAGAAAGATTATAGTTCATATTATAGATCATATTGTGTATTAACTAAAAACATAGTTCACTTTTCCATTCAAATTGTTCAAAATTCACTGAAGATGAGTGCAAGAACAGTTTTTTTTTGAAAAGCAGTTTCTACAAAAAGTGAACTCCGCCTTTTATTTTCATTTATATTGTATTCTATTTAGATTGAAACATTATGAAAGTATCTAATAAGTAGGAATAATAAAGACTTTGGTTGTTATTATTATCATTTTTGTGAGTTGATTTTTCCATACAAATACCTCCAATATGTTCATGAAAAAAGACTGTTTTTGAACGTCTGAAAGTTCATTAAAAAAATTCATGAAAAAAGCTGACAAATATTGTTGTACACAGTAACAACGATTATACTTCAATATATTCGCACTTGTTTCATAAAATTTTGACTATAACATTTTAAAAAATGATTACTTCACTTGGTCCAGAACCAGTTCATGAACACCACATATTTTTTTCGTAACACTGGAACATATACTTGAATATTTCGATTGAGTAATTCCATGGAAAGAATTATTGTTAGAGAACAACGCAACACTTTTTTATGGGATTAGCAAGCCGCTATGAATGTCCACTAACATTAAAATAATTTAATGCGTGTTTCATATTCTCAATTACAGAGGTCAACTGTTCATTTTTCGTAACTAATTCGGGTTTTTGTTGTTATCAAACAGAATTATATAAGTTTTGAGTTGGGGCATTTCCTTACAAATCTCCTGACATACCATGTACTAAAATATTTATGTTGATGAAGACATTATGTTTATGAAATAATATTCAATATCAAAATTTAACTCTATACAAAGATGTGTAGATATGCAAAGAAGTAACTTTCAGACACAAACTGGAAGACAAAAACCTTCCTAAACAGCTATTTTCAGATAAATATTGAATTATACGTAAAGAAAATACATTCGTATGGAATCGAATCAGATATCAGATATCCTTCTTTTCTTTGGAAGATTTCTACATTTTGTATCAAGATGGAAAAGTAGGCCAAAAACTTTCTTTCCCAAAAATTAATCTCTCCTGAAAAAGATACCCTATCAATTTTAACAAGATTCCTATAGCTGGGATTTACGTACTGTCATCGATGTTATGGGTGGATTCAACCCATTCCGTGACATGAAGTCGTAATTATGAACGAATTGAGTGTTTTTCCATATCCGTATTCGCTACTGAAGAGCTGATAATGCAAGTGTTTTACGTCGGAACATCGGATGTCTAGCAGTGAGGATGACAGTGTTCCACGTAAGTGAAATTTCACTTCTTCCAATAATTATATTGTGTAGGAATCCTGTGAATGATATCTGATTCGATTCTTTTTCTTTCAGTTTGTGTCTGAAAGTTACTTATTTGCATGATTTACACATCTTTGTGTAGAGTTAATTCTTGAAATTGATTGCTTGCTTCTTTTGAAGATTACCACATTTTTGTATCGAGATGAAGAAGTAGGAGGTCAAAAACTTTCTTTCCCATAAATTGATCTCTCCTAACAATATACCCCTTCAATTTAAAAATTATTCAATACTTCTCATATTCAATTGAAAACATATTTTTCGCTTCTATACTTGAATCGACAGTATTTTCCACTAACTTCTGAAACATAGTCGAGTCGCTTTCATTCAACTGTTGTAACCTAATAATCTTCATATATGCCATTGACTCGAAAATTCATTATTAATTTACTTGAAAAGTTCATAAATAGTCCAGAAAAATATATTTTAGATATTTGCTTGTTTTGTTCTGGAATATTTCTAGAAAGATTTCATACAAATCACCAAAATTGATTATAATGCACTCAATCTGTATCTGCAGAGTGGGGAGGGTGAGTGTAAGCCCACATCACTTAGGCCACATGTGACCCATTGTACATCCTCCCGAGGAGTTGACCTCCTAGATCATCATCCATCCTGTTCTTTCCAGGAAAGTGGACAGGTTTCTGGGAGACTTCTCTTTTATATCGGCAGGTGTAAGCGAAGACTCGCCGAACACACACTCTCTTATTGGTGATAACTCCGGACATTCGCATAGATTCCTGATAGTTTCATCTTCCTGTTCACACATCCTGCATAGAGGTGTGTCCACTAGCCCCATATTGTGGAGGTGTTTCCTAAGTTGACAGTGGCCAGTCAGAAATCCTACTGTTAAGCCTAGATTTTTCCTGGTCATCGCCAGATATTTCTTCTGCGCCAGCTTCCCAGGTTAGCCCAGGGTGATCCTGGCAAGAATCCTTCCTTTGATTTCATCCCATCTCTTTAGGGATTGAGCATGGGTGTGACGTTTGGCTAGTTTCGCAAGTGTCGAAGTCATGGTCGTCGGTGCCACTGGGTCCTAAAATTCTTAGTCCAGCCGCTAATGAGTCGGAAATGCGATTACCTTTACTCCTGTCGTTCCCTTCAACCCACCTCAGGATAATGTTATTATCTACCGAAACTTTGGCTAAATCTTGGTGGCACTCTAGTACTAGTCCTGAGGTAACACGTTGTATGTTCAAGGCTAATAGGGCTTGTCTGCTGTCAGTTCAGATTGTTATGTTTTTGCCAGAAATTGCTTTCCTGGTTATTTCTTTTGTGGCGATT